GGCAGAACCTTCCAACATGAGGGGCAAATGCTTCATGGCCACCTCGTCGTTCCCACCGCCGATCTGAACTGCCACTCGGTAGTCTTCTAGCCAAGTTTCAGGCTTAGACTCACCGGTGAACTTGCTGACTCCTGTTGCCAACCTGAAATTGGGGGGGATAACAGCGGCTCTGATAGCTCTGCTGAAACATTCAGGACCAGAAACATGTACTCGACTGCTCGTGGGCACATCTCTGTCGAGTGCACCTCGATGGGCTCTGTTCCGGTCGACCAATCCTTGCACGATAATGGATCGCGCGTCGAAGCATGGCTCTCTGGGGTCAACTGGAACCCTACGCCCTGTACTGTATTGACGCCTATCATCTGGCTGCCGAGGAGCGTAAGACCCACCCCTCGGAGGGGAATAGGGCACTCGACGCCTATCGTCTCGGTCGAGTCTGTCGCCATATTGATCTCGTCGATTCTCACGCCCTTCGCGCCGCGGAGGCGATCTGGGGCTGTGAGCCGACTGAACCGTATTCACAGTGACAGATCGACTGTGAATTCTGTTGCGCGACTGAGACACGGCTGAATTCTGATCTCCTGCTGCCCGGAGCAGATCCCTGATCTGCAGCAAACCTCTGCCAGCTTCTGACTGCGAAGGCTGAATGGACTCTGCTATACGGGTCGCAGCTGCTAAATTCTGAATTGGGGTTCGATATACCTGAGTCGGCGGGAAGAGTTGTCGTCGACTGGTGTCGGGAACTCGTTGCCGCGCGCGCTCGTCGAGTGCTCGCTGAAGGTTCTCCAGTCGAGTGCGCTCGGCCAAATTGGCCAGACGCGCCTCCTCCAAGGCACGAGCCTCGGGGGTTTCTCCTGCGATGGGTACACGCAGGGGATCCTCGTTCCTGCGGCGAAGCTCTTCTCTTTGCAGAGAGTCGAGTGGCTCGGGCTGGTACTCTTCGTAGCCTCGAGCAGGGTCGCCGCCGTCACCTGCTCCACCACCGCGGGCGAAGCCAGGAGGGCTGTGGGGCCCGTCGACCATCAGGATTTCCGCCGCTGGATCACTGCTTCCGCACTCGGATGCAGTCTCTCCGGAGCCAGTCGACTGATCGAACAAGTCGTAGAGAGATTCGTTGGGCTCGATTGCCGCAACTTGTGTAGTGGTCGACTGGCGAGCCACCGCGTGACTCACCCATCGCTGAAGCCTCGACCGGCCTGAGCACTTGCGCTGGCGGGAGACTGGGAGGGTGGAAGATGGAGGAGCCGACCGATACTGGGTCGATGGTTGCCGCAGCAGAACGCCGCGGACACATGCGCGAAAATGCGTCGCACCGCGGACGGGGAGCGCATCTACGTCGAGTGGAGCCTCTTGGAGCCATGCGGAGTCGTCAGCGATGAAGGTGAGAGTGCCGAGACGGATCTCTTGACCCTCGATCAAAACTCCAGCAGACACCATGATGAAAATAATCGGAAGAATCGCAATTTCTCCACAAAATCGCTAAAACACCTGCCCCACGGTGGGCGCCAACTGTCGTGGTTCTAAGCCTGACAGTAGAGTGGGGGGTAGGTATGGAGAGGCAAGGTCCTAGCTATGGAGAGGTTGTAAGCACAAAGGATGTACGAGTTCAGGCCCTTCTCGGAAGAAGTAACAGCCCTACGTCTCGGAGCCCGGAGGCGGTCGAGTGGATTATGAATGTATGGATTACAAGGTGCCGAACCCTTCTGCCTGTGGAGGGGGGTGGCTTATATAGAGTGCGCCAGGACCCCAGCCAGCCCACGTAGGAGAGGGTTTAAGGTGAGTTAAGTCTGGGGCGTTACTGGTAACGCCCCACATAAAGTGCCTTTACTATCATAAAGTCTACTTAATTACAGACCGTTGCGGTGCAGAGTGCCTCTTGACCTCCTGGTGGTCGAGTGAGTCTTCGTGGTCGAGTCCTTCAGGCCAGTCGAGTGTGTCCTCGTTGGTCGACTGGAAGGCGACCTCTTCTAGGGATGTCCTAGGGTAAGTTACTTGGGACAGGTCCGTGACCCTACCCTAGGTACATAACCCCATCAGGCGCCAGGGCGAGCTGTTTTGGCGCGAAAAAGCCGCTGGCCAGCCGCGTCAGCGACACGGCGCCTCGTCTTCCCCCAACGGCCTCGGTTCCCGCGGGGAATCAACGCCAAGGCTGCCGCCGGTCAGCCTTGCCATTGATTCCTCACGGGCGGCGCGTCACGGGACGGCGCGCCGACGCCTCCCCTCCCTCGCACGCGTACACACGGGTGCGGCGCGGCTATATAGCCGATGGCCTGTACTCGCCTGTGCCCACACCAGCCCCGCCCCTCGCCACCGCCCAGCCCCTCCCTCTCCCTACCTCTCCCGAGCGCCGCCGCCCAGCCCCTCCCTCTATCTCTCTACCTCTCCCGAGTCCGTCGCCATGGCGGAACGCTTCCCCGGAGACGAGGCGGCGGCCAACGGCTTCGGCCGCTCCGCGAACAGGAGTCCTGGCTCCTGTTCCAGGCGAACATCCCGGCGCCGCCGGACATGCGCGCCGGGCCGACGGGGTGGAGACTCAGCGCCGGGGGAGTGCCCATTCCCCCGTTGCCCGACGCCGTGGCGAAGCCGAAGTACTTCGCCAAGGAAGTCGAGGTCGTGCGCGCCTCCCTCACCGACGCCCAACTCTCCCTCCCCCAGTACGCCGCCGACAACCACGCGGCTTGGGCGGCGTATTTCAAGCGCCGCCAGCAGCAGCGCTTGGCGTCCACCAACGGCGCGCTGGTGGTCGGCGGCCGGCAGAACAACGAGGGGCGCCACCTGTGGTGGGGCGTCCCCGGCCGCACACTCGAGGGCGTGCTGACGTACCTCGAGGGAGGCAACGACCCGCCGTTGGCGTACCCGGCGAGGGCGGCCGCCCTGGCGCAGCACCGACGCGTCGGGCCATGGGCGCCAAGGAGGTTCGGGTCCTCCTCCTCTTCTTCCTCCTCCCGATCTTCATCGCACTCCTCCGGCACTCCGGCCCTGCTCGGCGTCAAGGCCGAGCCCGCGGTGGAGACGCCGCTCGGCCGGCGCACTCGCAGCGCCGGCATCGTCATCAACGAGGGCGGCCGGCGCGCCTACTCGTCGGCTCCTCCGCGCTTCGTCAAGCCAAAGACGGAGCCGGGGCTCGCGCCGGTGAAGAAGGAGCCGGCCGCGCCGGTGACGAGGAACTCGACGACGACGACGCGGCCCTGGAATGGGCGCGCAGGGACTCCATAGCGATGGAGAAGGAGCGCCTGGAGAAGGCGAAGGAGCGCCAGTGCGCCGCCCTGCTTCGCTTCGCGGAGCGTCGACGCGGCCGCGACGAAGGCGGAGTCGTCGTCATCTACGACAGCGACGATGACGACGACGATGCGCCGCCACCAGTCCGCCATGGCGACGCCGGGCAGGGGTCCAGCAGGGGCGCCCGCGTCAAGGAGGAGAAGGCCAACGACGACGATGGCGGCAATGGCGACGACTTCGGCCAGTTTTTCCTTTAGATTAGTTTATGTATATGTGCTATGTAATGAAAATCCGCGAACTTCGCCGAAATGTGCCGAAATTTATCGTGTTTGATCGAAATTTATCGTGTTTAAGGCAAACTTCTTTTATTTTAAAACGTGCCTGGGACGGCCCTGGAGCCGGCGGCTGGGGACCAACTCGCCCCCAGGCTCAATTTTTGCGCCGGCTCATCCCCAGACGGCGATTTTAGGCGCCCCCTGAGGGCCAACGGCGGGAGATGCCATAAGGAGTAGTAATGCCTAACAATTTATGTTTTTGTCTTATCTTGGCCTGCCCATTCGTTGAAGCTCCGCCACTGGTGTGGAGTAGCTTTCATCTCGTCAACCCAACTCCAAGTGCTGCATACACCACAAAAACTACATGGGCAGCCGCCCACACGCATAATCCTATTACACTTGCAAAACTTTCAAGTAGTTCAAGTTTCAAAACGAATGCGGCTACCGTTGGATTCTCTCTTGCGCCACTTGTGAACGTGAGGCTGATAACCGGGCACGCCGTCGCCGCCAAAGCGACGGGCTCAAACTCAGCCGCTCACGTCCACCCGTGCGCCGCCGAATGCCGAACACAAAACCCCACCCACCCACGCACGCACCGCGCCGGCGTCGGCATCGGCATCGGCATGAGGAGCTCGGCGGACGACGTGGACATCGAGCTGGTCAAGGCGGTGGCGCAGGCGTGGTACGCGCACGCGGGCAACCCGCGGCCGTCCCGCGCGCCGGCGGACGACGACGGTGCCGCCGGTCTGGGCGCGCGCCGCGCGGGCGCCCCGCGCTACAGGCCGTCGCGGTTCAAGCTGTAGGCCGCGGCGGCGGCGGCCAAGCCGCCAAACAGCAGGCCGTGGGACTTCACGCAGTCGCTGTGGGACACCTACGAGCTGGTCACCGTGGCGCAGAAGATCGAGTCCAGCCTCGCCATCGTGGACGAGGCCACGGCCAGGCCAGCAAGGCGTGCCTTCACCGACAAAGACACCACGCGCGCCGGAGGAGGGAAGCGGGCGAGGGAGAGCAGGCGTAGCCTCAGGAGCCTGTTCCGCCGGTCCTCGTCCAGGAGGTTCGAGGAATCAAGCAGCTAGCTAGCTAGTGTTCTCCTCTCTACCTTCATGTTTCTCTCTCTAGTCCTTCCTTGCCTGAAAGACTTGGGCAGCGTCTATATGCAACTTATTACAGAGCTTTCTGTATTGCCAACCACAGCATGCATTTAGGTAGAGAAAACACAGTCAGATAGAAATACATATATGGCGAATGAAGCATATAATCCAGAATCACATCGCCGATCAGAGTTCAAGTACGATAATAACGAATGATGCGTCTGCAGTCCAACAATTCAGTCAGGAACGACGACAAGAAAAACAAAATGACAAATCCAGAATCCAGGTAACTTGGGTGATCGCACCCTACGTCCCAATAACGCCACAGGAATGGCATAACAAATGTCTTGCCGGTAAACGAAAGGAAATTTGGTATGAGGTGCCGAACCTCATTTGCATTGCAAACCTCAGGTTCTCACTTCGGAGAGTCGATTGCAGCGACGGGAGGAGCATCTGATGCAAGTGTGATGCGGCCTATCGATTCGGCCTGCCCGGCGCCGGCAGGAGATCCAGCATTGCCGTCCATGTTGACAGCATCAGTTGCTGGGACGCCCACCGCAGTTGCAGCATAGGCGACAAGATAGAAGTGCATGGCATTCTGATCATCACCTGCTGGGTAGCCAGTATAGTAGGGGAGGCCATTCTGATCATAACCTGCAGGGTAGCCAGGATAGATTGTATAGTAGGGGATGGCATTCTGATCATAACTGGCAACTGGGTAGCCAGCATGTCCACTAGCTTGCACATCTTGATAGCCCGCCATGGGATTAGCGTATGCGTAAGGCATGCCATAAGCTTGAGTTGTTTGAGCAGGGAGATTGCTAAATGCACTTCCATATGCAACTTGAGCTTGTGCCGTCACAGATTGACCTGCTGCTACTAGCACCAGTCCTGCAGCAGTTTGTTTCAAGAATTAGGTACACACTCATAATAACAAGAATCATGCTGCTGAGAATAACAGATGAAAAGGGGAACTGCTCACAAGAGGCGCTCACTGAATCAATTGCCAATATTAACAATAGGCATTTCTACTAATTCATTTTTACTCATCACACATACTTCCGCAGAATTTCCCCAAGGAACTGCATTTCTTGCTAAAAGTTGGTCTATGGAATGCCATGACTACATGAGCAATAGCAGTAGCACTTAAGCATCCCATTAGGGCACAATAACAACGCACAGCACTATGTGTGACATGTGTCAAAAAAGGGACTGACATGGTGCATTCATCAGCATCTACCTCCAGAATATTAGGGGGGTTGCAAAAGTAAACCTATGCTGGACCATGTCCAAAGAAGAGAAGTATGTACCAGGACTCGTCGTTTATTAATTTCGCAAGGCCCAATGGTTTCCCTGTTGAGTTTTTATCAAGATTTGTGGGAGGTTAAAAAACAAGACTTGAAAAAGCTTTTTGACAAATTGCACAAAGTAGAGTTGGATGTTGAAAGGCTTAATCAAGGAATCATTGCATTGATTCCTTTTATGTGACTACATCTACTCCTTTCATGTTACACAGCACATGTGCTATCTGTATTGCACGTGACCCTATGAAGCATGAGCTCACCAAACATATCGGTGCAGATGCTTCATTTGTGCACTCCGTGTGCAGGATCGGGTGATTGCTCTTCAATATGTGCCTTCAGAGTTATAGTTGCTGGATTTCTTCACAAAGGCCCAGACTAGAGCACATCAGGGCTTTTACCTCTCCAAACTCTGTGTTGTTGATTCACCGTGAGTTTGAGAGGGGAGGGGGAGGGGGTGTTGTATGAGGGGTTTTCAGCATATTGTACCATGTATGTACATGTATATATAATAGCCTATGACCTCATGGAGATACAGGCTGCTATTATTTTTTAAGCGGCCAAAAGAACTGGCCCCTAGTTTCTCTCACAATTCGATTATAGCCACAGGAGGGCAGTGTTCACTCTCTGGATACAACTTGCCAAAAGAAAAAGGAAGAAGTAAGTGCCGTGCCGTTGCCGCTGCCGTGATCCAAGCCCGGATACCCCTCCTCCGATATTCTGCGCTTAAGTAGTGTTGTCCCAGTCCAGGCCCCACGAACCTGTGATTGGTGTGGCGAATCCTTGTTGGCCTGGCAATGAGGCGTCCTTCGCCTTGATTTGTCCACTTGTCTGCCAGCGTGGCCCGATCGGCTGCCATGGCAGTACCTTTGCCTTTCGCTGCCATGGCAGCTGTTTCACTGCCCGTCTCGCCCTCTCCATGTTGATCACTGACATCCCTTCCTCCTTGACTTGTGGCTTGCCCCCAAGCCGGCAGATGAGGGAAACGAGACTGTAAGGCAATGGCATCCTCCCAAGTAGTGTCCACCTCCTCATAGTCTGACCAACGTACCAGGACCTGCTCTCGTCGCCCTGAAGGTGTTTGGCGCCATCTTGTTTGCAAGATCTCCACCGGAATGAGATCAGCCTTAGGCGGCACCGGCATAGTCGAAGAAGCTGTTGTACCTGAAGACTGAGCTTGTCGTATTTGAGAGACATGAAAAACGGGGTGAACTTGCGAACCTGGTGGTAGTGCGAGCTCATAAGCGACCGGGTTGATGGCTTGCAATACTTGAAATGGTCCAATGTAATTAAACGACAGCTTGTAGTTGGCTCTGCGGTGTACATGCGGCTGGAGCTTGACGTAAACCTCATCGCCAGGTTGAAATGATTGGTTGAAATGATTGGTCAGTGCGTTTCTTATCTGCTTGCACCTTCATGATGTGGCGAGCTCGATGTGGTGCTGCTTAAGGACTTGCTGCATGGTTCTTCTTTCCTCCAGCCATTCCTTCAGAGCAGGATCTTACAAGCAGATGCAGCCTAAATGCCCCAGTGCCTCGGCTCATGGCCATACAGAGCATGGAATGGTGACATGTCTAGGGCAGAGTGGTAGCTCGAATTATACCAAAACTCAGCCAGCACCAGAAATTGACTCCAGTGATTTGGACAGGCATGGATGAAGCAGCGAAGATAGATCACCAAGCATTGATTGACACGTTCTGTGGATGATACGGTGTGCTCGTGTTCAACTCTGTCCCAATGATTTTGAACAATTCCTGCCAGAATCTGCTGGTAAACACCAGGTCTCGATCCGAGATAACTGCCTTAGGGAGACCGTGCATCTTGTAAACATTATCCAAATAAGCTGGAGCGACCTTACCTGCTGTGAAAGGATGATTCAGTGGTAGAAAATGAGCATACCATGTGAACTTGTCCAGAACGACGAGGATACAGTTGGCCCTGTTGGATCGCGGGAAGGCATCAATTAAATCCATAGTAACAACCTCCCAAGATCCTTCCGGCAATGGAATTTGGTTCTAACGGACTAGGGTATTTGACTCGCCCCGGCTTGGCTTGCTGACAGACAGCACAAGTGCGCACATACTAGCGAATAGTGTCTTTCATTTTGGGCCAGGCAAAAAGACAACGGATGCGACGATAGGTGACCGGAAATCCGGAGTGCCCACCCACGGTGTTGTCATGGAAGGCACGCAGAATACGCTGCTGTAATGCTGGCGACCCACCAAGCCATAATCTGTGGCGGAAATACAGCAAGCCGTCCGAGACAGAAAACCTCTGTTTTGCATCGGGTCGCTTGGAGTGAGCAGTTTCTTAGATTGGTCATTCTCTGCATAGCTGACACGAATGTCCTCCACCCAAGTAGGTTGGCACACTGACATGGCCATGGCTTGGTTTTAAGTGTGTAAGCGGCGAGAGAGCGCATCAGCGACGCTATTGGCAGTGCCTTGGCGATAATTGATTTTGTATCGCAGACCCAGCAACTTAGTGAAAGCTTTCTGTTGCCACACTGTGGACAGCCGTTGATCATCGAGATGGATGAGACTATGTTGATCCGTACGAATCGGGAACTTGTCATGATGGAGATAGGGGCGCCATTGCTCTACGGCCATCAGTATAGCCAGACACTCTTTCTCGTAAGTGGAGAGACCCCGCTTTGGCCCCAAATGGGATGCCCCCCTTGTTGTAGCACAGTGCCCACTCCATAGTCACAAGCATCGGTGTCAGTCACAAATTGTTTGGAGAAATCCGGCAGTTGCAAGACAGATGCTGAAATGAGACCTTGTTGTAACAGAGTGAAAGCTTTCTGCGTGTCCTCCATCCAAACAAAAGGTTGGTGTTTCTTCAGCAAATTGAACAGTGGCCTTGCGATGATACCGAAGTGCTTGACAAATTTCCGGTGATATCCCGCAAGACCTAAGAAGCTGCACACCTCTTTGGCAGATGTTGGCACCGGCCAGTTTCTGATCGAATCAATTTTACTTGGATCAGTCGACACCCCATCAGCATTGATCACATGCCCTAAATAAGCAATTTGCCATTGACCAAAAGAGCATTTCGACTGTTTCACTTGCCAGCCATCTTTGCGTAGGAGCTATAACACTTGCTTGAGGTGAGATACATGATCCAACAGTGTCTTGCTGAAGACCAAAGTGTCATCGAAAACGACCAGCACACAAACACGCAGCAATGGATGCAATGTGGTTGTCATGGCTCCATTAAAAGTGGCCAATTCGCCTGCTAGTCCAAAGGACATAACTAGGAATTCCCAATGGCCTAAATGTGTGGTGAATGTTGTCTTATATTCTTCGCCTTCAGCCATATGGATCTAATGGTACCTTGCACGCAAATCCAGCTTGGAAAACCAACGGCCACCCACCAATTTATCTAAAAGTTCATCGATAATCGGCACCAGGTATTTGCTGACGATAATCATAGCATTCAGGTGCCTGTAGTCCACGCACATGCGCCAGGTACCGTCTTTCTTCTTCACTAGCAGGGCAGGCGAGGAAAAGGGACTGGTGCTCTTCTGAATAATGCCAGCATCCAATAGTTCCTTCATTTGTCTTTCAGTTTCAGTCTTCAGTTCAGGTTTGTGGCGATACAGACGCAAGTTGACTGGTTGAACACCTTCCATCAGTGGTATATTTTTTTTTTTTTGAAATGGTCACCGGGGGGGAAAGGCTCCCCACCTGAATATATTTCAAAAGGCCATAATGCCAAGAGATTAATCCAGTTTATAAGGAAAACCGGATCGAAAACCTGAACAAGTTGACCCCGTTTATGAGGAAACCGAGTCGAAAACCGTACAAGAGAAGGTAGAACAAGAAGAGAAACAAAAAGAGAGGACGCCCCAGACAAGGCGCGCCTAGCTAGCAGACCAAGGATAACAGCATGAGAGGCACAAGTAGATGAGGGGAGTCGTCAAGGGATCACAATACCAAGACTTTGCAAGCAGCCTAACGCACCGCACCGGCGTGCGTACCGAACACCACGGCGCAACAGAGGAGCATCCACACTCAACGAGTGACAAGCACGAACCTTGACTGGGAGCTCCGCCATGAAAATTCAGGAACGATTAGCAAGTTGGGGAGGCACCTTGCGTCATCATTGAGCAAAGATGAACCGAGATAACACCAAGAGCACGAAGCTCGCCGCACCACAACGGCAGCCATGGCATGTCTTGAGCATGCATAGCAACAGGGACGACACCGAAGAACACCACCATAAACAAGCACATACCACCATCGGCCCATCCGGCCGCACCACCACCACCACCATCCCGCAGCAAGCACCACCACACGTCACCCAAGCAGACCCCAAGATGATGCCTTCAAGAAGGGTCGCGATGCCAGCTGCGCCGCCATCATCCGCACCAGGAGTACCCGGGCTAGGGGTTTCCCCTGGGATCTCATCTTCCATCTTCATCTGACCAAGCAAGGTGAGCCTTGAACGTTGGCCGTCTGGTCGCCACCCAACAACACCCCGCAAAGGGAAGAGGTGCCGTACAGGAACGAGGTGGTCCAGAGAGGATCACACCCCGCTAACCCGGCTTCGGATGGAAGAATCGGAACCACTCCAAGGAGTGGCCGAGCCAAGATGACGCCACCGTCGACCCCAGCCAGCCGCAAGACCACCATCAACAACCCCGCAGTGAGCAGCCACCAGATGAATCCACCGAGTCGACGCCTTCAAGAAGGAATGCGACGCGAAACGCGCCGCCATCGACCGTTCTGGGCGGACCAAGAACAAGGGCTTCCCCTGGTGCCTCGAAGGTGAAGTCACCATGGCAGCGATGCCTCCAAGGAGGTAAGCGGCACCCGTGGGAGTCACCATCGCTGGCTCCAGCCGGAGCATAAGCTTTCGCCCAAGTGAGCCGACCACCTTCGAGAGGCACTGGTAGACCGTGAATTGCTGCTCCCTGCACCACCACATAACAAGGGCCACTGCAGCCCGCCGCCGCACGTGCCCAGATCCGGGCCACCGCAGACCAGACCCGACGGATCCAGCCTGCCCACGCCGCCCTCCTCCGCCAGAATCGTGCCAAGCCGTAGCCGGCAGGCACGTCTATCACCTGTGCGCGCCAACAGGCAGCAGCACCAGCAGACACGCCGCAGGGGAGGTGGAGGGTGAGCACCACCATGCGCGCCTCGCAGAGGCCACCCCCGCCGGCCAGATCCAATCTGGCGCGCAGCAGCCCACCCCGACACCCGCAGCAGGGAGACGGCACCGAAACGAAGGAGGCCACCAGGAGGTAGCTGCGAGCGCATCCTCACCACCGTCCCCGACCACCACCCGCAGAACCGCCGCGCGCCGGAGTCACGCACGCCGGCCGCCGCCACACGAAGCTCCCCCAGCTTGTGAGCACGCCCCACGGGGAACGAGTGCCCGCCGCCATCAGTGGTATATGGTGGTCACAAGCATGCCAAGGTGGTAGGGTGCGTGGTTCCTCATATACATTTGTGTACTGCTCGAGAACTCTGAGAATTTCAGTGGGTATGGTGTTGTCGACAATCCCTTGGTCTGCTACAGTATTGAGGTGAACAACATAAGCCACGACCGTTGCTTGCAGGAATGCATTAGTTCCTGGGATGATATAGTGGCACATTGTTGCAGATATTGAGTGACGACATGTAATTCAACAGCACCAGTACCTATTGTGACTGATAGACGTGCTTCCCAGTCAATGTACATGGGGCTATGTTTCTTGAACCAGTCCATACCTGGTATTGCATCACAGTCCCAGAGATACGACTTTGAAATTCGTGATGAATTCTTGACCCTGACACATCCATTGGCACTGTGGAATGTAACTATTGCACAACAACAGAGCACCATCAGCTACTTTGACCTAGCAGGGACTGGTTAATGGTGAGACACCCTTCAGTTGCTCAGCCAGACGTTGGTCCACAAAGGATGATGTACTCCCCGAATCCACCAGCAAAAGAACCTCTCGGCCTTGGACCCAGGCATGCAACTGGCATGCAACTGCATAACACCAGGACCTTCTGAACCTGCCACTGCGTGCACGGATATAAAGCAGAGGTTTTCGTCTTCGGGTTCAGTTAACTGACCTGTCGATCACCAAGTACATTTGCATCTGTACTGAACAGGGCGAGCAGTTCCTCAACCACATGCGAACTGTAGGGGGACAAGTATAATCTTGACCCCATCGCTCACCGCACTTGAAACAGAGACCTCGAGCTCTACAGAATGGTCCGAGAGCTGCAATTTTGCTCTTATCAGACGCTGCTCTGGCTGCGCCAGTGCCTCTCCATCTTCAGCTGCCAGAGTAGGAGCAGTGGGTCGAGGGAATGCCACTGGCACTACCGCTGTACTGGTCAATGCGAAGCGCGACGCTGGTGGTCGGGGAACGGTGGCGTGTAGGACGGCCTCGCCATTTGCCACTTCTTGCAACAGGGCCAAGGAGCAGGCTGTGTCCAAGTCAGGCGGTCGCTAGATGAGAACCACCGCTCGAATGTCAGCACGCAGTCCCTCAATGAATCGCGTCAGGAAAAAATAAGGATGGGTCAGTTCAGAGTATGAGATCATATGATTCATCAGAGTTTCAAATCGCTCAATAAAATCTGCGACGGAATTGGTCTGACGGATAGCATAGAACTGGCGAATTAATAGCTGATGTTTATCTACAAGGCTGTGAACGACTCCAGTTGAGCCCCGCAATTTTACGCTGCACTGACTGCAACCAAATCGCGGCTGGTCCTGAGAAATTCTGGATCGCCATTGGAACCCAGTACGATTCGTGCGCCGTGAACATCTGGAAGTATTGTTCTGAGAGCGTCTTCCAGAGCTGTGGGTTCTCGCCGGACCTGGCCAAACGGGCCGGCATGGCACGGCCCATGGAGGCATGTTTAGTAAGCAGGCCGTGCCGTGCCGGCCCACGTGCTGTGCCTCTAGGCCCAGGCACAGCCTATTTACTAAACGGGCCGGCACGTTGGCCCGTTTAGCATGCTGGGCTGCACATTTTCAGCCTGTTGGGCTGATTTTTAGGGCTATTGGACTGTATTTTACGTATATATAAAAAATAAAACAAAAGGGGCCGTGCCGTGCCGGCCCGCGTGCCCAGCCTCCAAGCCCAGGCATGGCCCAAGGCGTGCCGCGTGTTGTGCCTGGCCCGTTTAGCCCGTGCCATGCCTGGCACATGGCGGGCCGTGCCGACGTGCTCACGGGCTGGCCTGATTGGCCCGGCCCGTTTGGCCAGCTATAGTTCTCGCCGGCGAAGACGGGAAACGTCATCGGCGGCGGAGTTTGGCCCAGAGCAAAAAGAACTTGAGATGATAGTGGCGACGAGATGCGGACGGAATCAGGGGTCATACCTGTGACCGGGGAAGTCGCTGGTGACTCGGGGATCACCGACGAGGATCCCCCAGGATGCAGTGGCGCGTCGTGACCTGATTGCCCTTGGATCTCGCGCGCAACCATGGGAGGGGTCGCAAGTGGCGGCGATCCGATGGATGGTGCAGTTGAAGATGATGCGGCTTGGAGAGCCGCGACCGAGAGCTCCAATTGCGTGAACCGCGCCTCCAACTCCGGCTTCCAGGTGACGAGGGAGTCAATCCGCGCCGTCTGCGTCGCCAAGGCCTGGAGGATGGCATTGTTGTCGCCGTCTTGCTTGTTGGCGCGGGCGGTGGCCTCGTCGCTCATCTTGTCGAGGTAAGCTTTGAGCGCGGGATCCATGGTGGCGATGAGGTGATCACGCACTTGCTTCTGGCGGCGGGTTTCTAGGACGGAGATCTGGGCGGTGGCGGCGTGGAAGGGTGGTAGGTGGCTAGCTGATACCACGATGTTAGGTACCCGATCTAGTTTCTCTCACAATTCGATTACAGCCACAGGAGGGCAGTGATTCACTCTCTGGATACAACTTGCCAAAAGAAAAAGGAAGACGAAAGTAAGTGCCGCGCCGTTGCCGTTACCGTGATCCAAGCCCGGATGCCCCTCCTCCGATATTCTGCGCTTAAGTAGTGTTGTCCCAGTCTGGGTCCACAAACCTGCGGTTGGTGTGGCGAATCCTTGTTGGCCTGGCGATGACGCGCCCTTCGCCTTGATTCATCCACTTGTCTGCCAACGTGGCCCGGTCGGCTGCCATGGCAGTGCCTTTGCCTTTCGCTGTCATGACAGCTGTTTCACTGCCTCTCGCCCTCTGCATGTTGGACGCTGACACACTTGTAGCAGTTCCTTCTTCACTGCATTATCAGCAAGCCTTCCAGCCTCCATTTCTCGGACCATTAGCTCGCTCTTTTGCATATCAAATGCAGCTTCAAGGCCGGCTTCAGGTCTCTGTCTTTTTTAAAAGCTGCTGACACACATGAATGATGATTAAGAGCAGCTATCACACCATGTTTCTATCAAAAACAAAGACTGCATAAACACAATAGGTATTCCACCCCAGCACAAAAAAAATTCCAACTCTCTCTGAAGAAAACATGTTTTCCAGATAGAATTCCCCAGATCAGCTCAAAGAAATAGATTCAAAATATTGATATGCCTAGCAGGCTAGCACCTAATCAAGGGCAGAGTTCGCACAGACACACTATTCTTTCCAAAGAACATGCCTGATTTTCCATACAAGGACAATTAATGAATAAAACGATAAAGTTGCTCCAAGCACAACTATGGATGCACCAATTTATTCGTACAACGAGAATTTTTGCATTTAATGTCAACAAGAATATGCGAAGGAAGAAAAAAGCACCTGATGACGCCATGGCAAAGCGGACGATGCTAAAGGCGGAAAGACTGAGGGATTTCACCAAATAGCAATGAGGAACCTGGAACTGGATTTGAAACTGGATCTAAGGGATCTGACCTGAGGTGTGGGAATTGGAGGAAGGAAGGCCGGGGAACAAGTGGCAAGGTTTTGATGTTTGGCCGTCTGATGGCTTTATTGTACTATTCAAAATTTGCGCAACCGGTTTCCTTGATCTTGGATTGGATCCGGAATTCAAGTGATAAGTAGGTAAAGGCGATAGACTTTAGAAATTTCATAAAGGAGTACAAGCATAGTAAGTTTGCTTTCTAATTTAGAAATTTGGTGAACAGATTCGACTTGAGAAAAATTATAATAGAGTAAAATCCTAGTGTGTTTGCTTCCTAATTTAGAAATTGACTAAATCAATTATAATCCCTGCCTTCAAAGCCAAAGGAATATATTGTGTTCTCGTCAGGACCATTTGAATAGAATTATGCGATATTTTGGATATAAACCCTCATCTAAGGAATCTATGTAACTCTGATAGGGCATGTCCTTACCTTTCCATACAAACATAAAGCTTGTGTAACTATGCATGAAATCCATATCGAAAGATAATAATAATGGAATATTATTTTACATACTAATGTATACCATTCTTCTTATATTGTTGCAAAAAATCAAGCATTTCCTTTCAGTTAAAGTTTAAGAAATACTTAAACATTCTTGACTCCTCGGATTTTTTAGACATGTAAGCGAGGCCAAAATGAATGCCATTACCCCATATAGTCTTCTAAGAGAATTAGTACTCTCTAGAATTGCACAGAAGTTTGTCATACAAAAATGCAAGTAACAAGAACTTAATTTGGAAATTTGGGGGAACGGTTTTCATTTTCCCATGTCAACAGTCGTGGACCCTCAGCTAGATATGCAAAAATGAACATTCCTATGCATCAGCTGCATGGCGACTAATTAGAGAGAAAACTTAGATGGCAAAAAATGGCATTCAAAGCAATATTTTTAATAACGGTGAATAAGGCTAACACTGATAGAATGAAATCGTAGAGCTTGTACCTATTGTGCACAAACAAAAAGATTTACAATATTGCTCAGTTGATACATATTTGAACGGACAGAAAGGACAGGCCCATAAACAATAACGAGTTCTGCCAAGCAAAGAACTTGCTCCTTAGGCCCCATAATTTGTACTGCTAATAAGCGATTTATAATATTTATTTATTTTGACACGTCAACGGCGGGCTTACGCTGGCCTGAACTTATATTGCCAAAACCAAAGTTATTACAGAGAGTAGAGTTACAGGGGGAACGGTTTATAGTATCTCTGCCTAGAAATTATTGGCTTTCCATAGAAGCTGCTAGAAGACCACGAACGAAGTACCAAAGCCTATTCCTTTACCAAACTTGGCTGCAGGTTCTTGAGCGTTGATGATGGACTCACCTACACCTATTGATCTTCTAGTTGTATGTTGTGATTGTAAAATGTGGTTATTTGGGAGTTAACATGGTGTTTTGTTACTAAACTTGGCAATACAGTTGGACTGTATAAACATTAAACAATGCTTGTGGAATGGCTAGAAACGGAAACAGCATTTCATGTCAATTCACCAATCATCAATGCCGAAGTAGCACGAGGCATGAGACATGTGTACTGTACCGTGGATCACCAGCTCGCCTTGCAGACGCGCCCCTTTTCTCGAGCAAGCACCGTGATCCATGGGCGCGCTCGGTACAACAGCTCACCGGTAGTAGCGGACAACGGGCACTTGGCCGATTGTCGTACGGATTCGGCATTTTGTCGAACAGCTTGAAGGCGTCGGACGTCCTGTGGTAGCGTCCCCGCGCCAGGCCTGGGTTGGAAGTCGGCGACGGCGAGCGGGTCTGGAGAGGGGCGGCAACAACGGAAATCGGTGGAAGAGGAGGAGGAGGAGGTCGGAGGGCTCAGAGATCTCGCGCCGGAGCGGGCTGCTGAGGAAATTGAGCTGGACTGGATGCCCAGCCCACCACATTTGATATTTTTTATACGTGGGGCTTCCTTTGCAGTTGATGGGCACGAGACAAGAACCGGCGCCGGGAAGCAAAATCACAAAGGAAAAATGGACCGCCGCTTCCACGCACGCAAATGAATTATGCTCCGGGCGACGAGTGTTTGTTTTTAACACACTAGATGCAAGCGCTCGTATATGCATACACCTCGACAAGGGTTAGGACGCTGGTCCATAATGAATACTTATTCACTCTGGCCAGCTATATATATGTCTATGTCATTTCAAGGCCGCTTCTATTGCACTAACAACAAGGGTTTCGTAAACTAACCTGTGGTTGGATGGTTAGAAGGACAGTGGTATCCTAACTCCACCAGGGTTTAAGTCTTTGAAGGTGCTTATAGGGATAGGATGTGTGTGTATGCGTTCATAGGGGTGAATGTATGCGCATATGTATGAGCGCTTGCGTCTGTACTGATGTTCAAAAAAAACAAGGTTTCTCTCCGGAAAAAAAAAGGTCTCATGGTGGTGGAGACTAGTGAGAAGGAGCCACCGTTCTTCCGCCGGATGTCGTCCACTGCGCACCTGGTGGACGATGACGGAGAGCTCTGCTATGCTTGTTTGAAAACGACTGAAATTCATTCAGGCATCCTCTGAAACGTACATGCCAAGTTAGATAGTCACTCGCTGATACCCCAGGGTCCGATTTGACCGGCCCCATCCTGGTCACGCTCTTGTAAAACACCACAATTGCCGCATTGTAACAGTACAACTATTTTCCATTCTTCTTTTTTAAGGGAATATTTCCCATTCTTATTGTCCTTGTCATCTGACGCTGTTGCCGCATGGTACCCTCTGTAAGTACTTGCTTGCGTAACAGAAATGACGTATCGACCGGGCTAAAATTGCAGAATCTATTCTATGTTTTCTCAATTACATTTCACGAGCATTATGTTAATACTATCATCCGTGTGAGTTTGGTAGCAGAAACCCACCACCCCTGATCTATTCCGGAGTGCACTCTTGGCGAGCAGACTGATTGTGTTGGGACCGTCCGTAGAACCAAACATCTAACTGTAGTGAGCAAAAATATGACTAGAGCAAGTTCAACATTTAACAGCTGTGCACCATATATTTGCTTATTATAGCAACTGAAACATCTGACTATGGTGAATTAAAGGCATGTTCGGTGCAAAGGAAGTGAAATAAGTATATCAACTTAGAAATTGGTACACTATGATTCTTCATGGGGAAACAGAGAAGAAATATAATGAAAGCAGTAGGGGAATTACGCACCACTGTGTATAACGGCTCTCAATTTGGGCATACATATGAAGATACACTTAGCATGGCAGATTTATTACAGAAATTGATGTACAAGAACCGGTGTCATTGGGATGTGCTTAGCTTAGCAACAATAATAGTTTATGAGTAATTTGTACTATCGAGACCAAACAACATCTATGTAGTTCACTGATGAAGCAGAGTATAAACAAATAAATTGACCATGGAAAAATATGTCAACAAAAATGAAGATAAAATCATGGGATAACAAATTCATCAGTAGCAGTGCGCACATGCAACAAAATAGTATGAGCAATGTTAAGGTATAGTACAGTCCATAAACAGATGGGGAATAGGCAATCTTTGGGAACATGAATACTCTGGCACACCACAAATCTTAAAACCTTTCCTGATACACAGGCCAACATCTAGCAAATGTCGAATATGATTCATGCAGTGGCAGCCTACGGATTGAAATTTTGGTATGGCAAAGTCAGCACCATAGACCAAAAAAGTGTACACAAAAAAAAGTAGTAACAAGGAATACACTCCGTTATTTACTAACAAGCATCCAGTTACAGCAATGTCCGGTGAATCAGGATTATCAGACTAAACTCCATCTATGATGTATGGCTAGATTAAGGTATGGCAAATGTCATAGCTTGCCATAATTCATCTACTTATATTGATTGCCCTATTCAACACAAACTTCAATATGGTGTTGTTGCTCTCTTTGAGATCCATCACTGTAAGGGACTATGATGACAAATCAGTTAACAATTTGAGATGCAAGACAGTGAAATATATTATCTAGTACGTAATAAACACCACAACTGCACATATTAAAGCATGGTATGTCATTATGTAAGTGTAGCTCTGATCTGGTTGAAAACTTGAAATCCAGTATTGCAAAATCATAGCTGTGTGACAAATAAAGTTCCACCTTCTTTGCATGTAGCAAGTCGCAACCACCAAAAGCAATGACTCTGCGGGTATCATTTTCATCCCCAGAAATTGGACAGCGAGGAGCACTCAATCCAATTCGTCACTTCTCACTTTTGTCACTGTTTCCCTTTGACTTTTTGCGCCATTTTTTTTCTACCAGCATTTTTTTCCTTTGAACTGTCGTTAGTTTTCATTTTTGACTATCGTCCCCTCTTTTGCATCCAATTTTTGCGTTCTACTTTTCCTTTCTGGGCAAGGAATCGTCTAGGGAAATAAAAGGTGGGAGGATGCTTTTTCAACTACAATGGATAAAAACTTTTCTGCAGTAATGTAATTATGTGATTTAAGATGAACAAAATTGCTGTCACCTATAAGTTCCAACTACACAAAAAAAACATTCTCAAAATCGTCAATATGATAACCTAAACAATTCATGCTCTTTCACTACCAAACATTCTTAAATAACGCAGAAAACAGAGTTCAGCATATCACATAACTAAGCCGATAGTGTATATTCCACAACTATATCACAAATGTCACTGTAAATTGGAGTAAAAGATATCATGAAATTTGCATGAGGCGTGAGTTATTACCGGCTAACCATACATTAAATGGTTGCTTGGAATATACGTTGTCATCAAGTTAAAATTATCTATAAGTCAAGAAAATCATTGGTTACAATACAAGTAACTGAGCGCCATTTGCAAAGAAGGCCGATACTATACTAAAAAAGGACACCATGGTTTGTTTTTCATGACAAAAAAAGACATGTACCTGGGTATTGAAGATAACCAAGAATAGAATACAATGGTGTTATGTTGTTAAAGGGTCAGTTTGAGATCTTCACATTCTCCAAGGACCAGTAGAAGATTTGATGGAACAAATACTAAGTTGGGGCAGTTGCAGTGTAAAGGGTCTTCTGAGCAACCAGTAATCTGGAGCGCATGAGCTCTGTTTTAAGCTGCTATACAGGTCTGCCATTAATACAGTACATAAGCAAAGAGATCATAGATACATCAAACTGAGACATCACTCGGTGCCTATGTCAATGTTCAATACCCTCTTAATACAAGTTCAGTTTGTTACAAGTAGACACATTTTGGCATAAAAAGCGAAGTCGTACTTCAGAAGTACAAAATAAGAAAGTAACAACGAAAATTATGCCAAAATCTGCTTAACTCCAACACAATTCATCCGGTTTGGAAGGCAAGAAACATATTAAGTCATGTGCAAATCAGGCACAAAAACACTTCCATACACAAGTACAACTCCAATACTTAAGACAGCACCTGATAAAAAATAAATCTAAAATATTTTAGCCCAACATACCCTAAATTAGTTACACAGTTGCAATGTCCACAACCCCCTCAGGTACAACAGGAGGAAATCTGTGCCAATCCTACAAGTATTGAGCCTAGTTTCTGCCTCCAATCGAACTGCAATTCACCAAACACAACAAAGCAAGCTATCTAGTTAAATACAAATGGCCCCAATTAAATTGCACAGTGCCTAATTAATACCAGGGACAGGCTGCCCGGCAGCCTGCTCATCTGCACTGCACAGGGAGTTCACAAGGTCACGTGGATCCCCCCATACCGGCAGCGCGGCAACGGCATCCACGACGGCTGCCTCGTACTCATTGCAGAACTCAACAATCTCCTCGCACATCTCTGATGCTCTTTTGAGCATTTCCTCCTGCGCCTCCACCTGCACAACCACCCCCAAAAGAACGCATTAGCAGCTAGGCAGCGGGGAGAGGACTAGGTGAGCTGATGGAGCGAAGCAGGTTGTTTAGGATCTTACCTCCGCGAGATAGTCATCGAGGATAGTGTGGTCCGAGGAGATTGTGGCGGCCGAGGGGGTGAGGGGAAGAGGGGAAGCGGACGAAGCTCCAGAAGTGGCTGCGGTGGAGGCGGGGGGCGGAGCAAGGATGTCGGAGGAGAGGGACTCCCAGCGGGAGAGCTCCGGCTGGTACTTGGCGCGGAGGTGGAGGAGCGCGCGGCGGCGGCGCTGGAGGCGGGCGGACTCGAGGTCCGGGGCCGGTGTAGAGGGCGCCGCCGTGCCGGTATCTTCGGCGCCATCCGGGTAGAGGACGCGGGGGCGCTTGAAGACGAAGCCTTCATCGTATTCGATCTCCCACTCGCCGCCGACGGAGGTGGCCGCCATCGGCTGGGGCGCTATGGGCGCGGCAGCGCGAGGAGGGGATCCGGTGGTGGTGCGTAGATGCGGGGTGAGGAGCGGGGTCTGGGTTTGGGGCCTGGAATTTCGAAAATTGGGGCTTGCCGAGCGGCAATTCGAAAATGTGGCGGCCGAGAGATCGTGAGCCTCTTTTTTTCATCAGTTTTTTAGGGACCGAGAGAGGTGGTGAGTTGTTTATGAGCAGATCGGCTTGAGCCACCAAATTGTTTTGGTTTCTTTTTCTTTTTTCAAAGAAAGACCCGAATTTATTATAAAAAGTTTACCATAAGTACGAAACACCCTGGCTGCCTGAGGATACATGGAAAAAGAAAAACACCTCGCCTAGCCCGCTCCCGCTCCTAGGGGACCCTCCTGTGTCCGCACCTTCTCCATCCTTGCATTCACTCCCCTTCATCGCCGTCGAGCAAAGCCCGGTCGGTGCAAGCGACAACGGGGCCATGTTCTCCCTTTCCTCGGAACTGAGTAGCGCGGGGTAGCGAACTCGGATGGATGTGTGGTGCTTTGCAAGGCGTGGCACCAGCAACGGCTTCAACGACGATGACGGTTGGTGGAGGCAGTGTGGAGAGCTGTTGGGTGGCGCGGGACAAGGCGGATGGCATGTTTGGCGAGGTGTCAATCCCCTTTAGATTTGACATGAGCGGGACGACGTGGGTGGCCTTGGTGGTTGGGGGCTCGGGATGGATGCTAGCGGCCTAGGTGCTGCTCGTTGTCGCCTGTGCCCCGGTGGCTAGCGACTGCTGGAGATGGAGCGACGGTGTTTGCGTCGATTTTGGCCAGATCTGGGCGGATTTGGGGCAGGGGTGGGGTGTGACGTTGGGAGTTGGTGGAGGTGACGCCCCGAGACCGATGCGCCAGGTGTCTTCCAGTTATTCGTTGTCGTTGCCATGTCATTTGCTTGCGTGTCGCATCTTATCATGTCATCTTGTGCATTGCATCATCATGTTTTCAAAACCTGCATCCGTCCGGGTTCTCCGAGTTCTCTCCGTTGTCCGTTCTGAGCCCAACCACACTTGCACGCGTCCGCGACATGTCCGAAATATTATTTTATAAGTGGCCGGAAAATGTTCTCGGATTGGGTTGAAAGTTGGCATGCGATGTTGTTATAGTGTAGATAGACCGCCTGTCAAGTTTCATCGCATTCGGAGTTCGTTTGACGCCCCAACGTTTAACTATAGCGGCATTATAGCCGGTCTAACGTCGGACGTTTTTGCTCTCCGGAAACAGATGCCGGGCCCTCTCTCTCTTCTCCCCCTCGCAGTCTCGCCACAGCCCACCTAGTCCATCCTCCTTCCCCTCTTCGCTTCCGGAGTTGTCCGATGCAACCGCACGGTCTGAAACCCTCCCTGCACAGTGCATCGAACCCCTCACGTGCGCGTCCGAAATTGTCCCGGACCCGACCCGAGCAGTCGTCACCGTTGTGTCCGGAACATCCCCAAACATCTACAAAACGTCTCCGTTTTGTTAATTGGACTCCCTAGCATATTTATTCTTGTCTGTCGGATTTCGATCGGATGATCCAAAAAATCCCTTCTTCCCTTATATATAGTCTATCCCTAATCCATTTTGGACCTAACCCTATTTCCTAGGGATCCTCTCAGCCACCGCCACTACTCCCCATCACATCGCCCAGATCCGTCGGCACCCACCTCCTCTGTTTCCGTGCCTGACCAACCCCGCTCCTCCTCCCGATCCCCATGGTTGTTGTTTCCCCGTTGATCCGCGTAGCAGCAGCTCCATGTCGGAGCTCCATCACCACCTGTTGCCCCTCGCCGGAGCAATACCAGCAGGAGCTCCACCCCGCTGCCCCTCTCCATCTCTATCTTCTCTCCCTGCCGCCTTTGTCTCTGCTTCCTCACTCACCACGTCACTCTCTTTTCTCTGTTCACAGGAGAACAATGGCGCCATGGAAAAACTCCCGAGCTCATCGCGTGGTGTTGCCGCCCTCCGCTGCTGCCTCCCCGTCGCCCTTGTTTTTTTCCCTCGCACGGAAGCCGCTGCAGCCTCCTCGACCCGGATCCACGCCGACGCCACCGAACCACCCCCGCCTCCAGCTTGGCGATCGCCAGACCGAGAGCCCTGCTCGCATCGCCCTGCCGTCAAGCGCCGCCCCTCCCGGAGACCGGCTCCGTTGCCGTGCCAAGCCCCCTCGCAGAGCCGCCGCCCGGGGCCTTCTTCTGCCTCGATTCAGCTCCGTCCTCCGCGCCCGACGAAGCCTGCACCGCCGCGCGCCTGCATCCACGACGAAGACGACGTCGATGGCTCCTGCTTCCCCTGCTGCATCGCCCGCCGGATCCGCCACCCTCCGCTGCTGCTTTGCCGCCGTCCCCCTGCGTCCTCTGCTTCGTGAACGAGCGAGTAGAACACAGCCGTGTTGACCGCCCACTCGTCCAGCGCCTCGCCTCGTGCCTCATCGCGCCTCCCCAGCGGGCCTGCCTCCTTCACCGAGCCCAAGCCGGCCTGCTGCATCGACTGGGCCTCAGCCCAATGTGAGCTGACCCCAGCGCCCTTTTTTCCCTTTCCACTGTTGGGCCAGGCTGCAGATTTGGCCCAATGTAGTTTTTTTTCCGTGTTTGCGATTTTGCCTTTTATCCAGAGTTTACCTGTTTTGCAGAAAAACCCTCCATGTTCATGCATATAATAACTTAATAACCGTGCATCATATTAAAATGATTTCTATATGAAACTTGCACAGAATTTTGTGTAGATTAATAATTTGCAACTTTCATATATGCTTAAAATGTTTAAAATGTTGTTTGCATATAATTTGCTCCGATGCCACGCTAAAATACTTTAATTCATAACTATTCAACCATAGCTCCAAATTTAATAAACTTTATATGTAAATGGGGTAGAAAAATGCCTAGTTTAACATGGTGCACTTTTCTTGCATGTTTAATAACTCAAAATTGTGTTTAGGTCAGAACAGTACCAAATCTAATATATGCATATGGGGATTTACCGGATTTGTTGTTTATTATATCCGGCCCCATTTAAATTGCTTAGTTAGATAGTTTCTTTTATGATTCACCTCTTGCCATGCTTAATAACATTTAATATTGTTGGGTACATAACCGAGAGAGAACAAAATAAGTCATGTGGTGTTCCATCAATATGCAACTCGTTGCATATTGAGATCCACTTAATTTGTAGTATTGTCTGTGCACTTTGCCATGCCATGCATATTTAAACCGGACATGCATCATACTTGGTTGTGCATCATGTCATGCTTATGTGGTGGTTGTTTACTATGTTGTGTGCTTCTTTCCGGTGTTGCTTCTTCGGGTTGGTTCCGATAACGTCGCGTTTGCGAGGAGCCCGTTGAGTTTGCTTTCGAGGATCCAGTCAACTATGACAACTTTGCAGGCAAGATGATCATACCCTCGAAATCACTTCTATCTTTGCTTGCTAGTAGCTCGCTCTTTTGCTATGCCTATGCTGTGATACCTCCCACTTGCTTATCATGCCTCCCATATTGTTGAGCCAAGCCTCTAACCCACCTTGTCCTAGCAAACCGTTGTTTGGCTATGTTATCGCTTTGCTCAGCCCCTCTTATAGCATTGTTAGTTGCAGGTGAAGATTGAAGTTTGTTCCTTGCTGGAACATGGAGATGTTATTCCTTGTTGGAACATGTTTACTTGTTGGGTTATCACAATATATCTTATTTAATTAATGCATCTATATACTTGGTAAAGGGTGGAAGGCTCGGCCTTTTGCCTAGTGTTTTGTTCCACTCTTGCCGCCCTAGTTTCCGTCATATCGGTGTTATGTTCCCGGATTTTGCGTTCCTTACGTGGTTGGGTAATAATGGGAACCCCTTGATAAATCGCCTTGAATAAAACTCTTCCAACAATGCCCAACCTTGGTTTTATCATTTGCCACCTAGCCTCTTTTTCCCTTGGGTTTCCGGAGCCCAAGGGTCATCTTATTTAACCCCCCCGGGCCAGTGCTCCTCGAGTGTTGGTCCAAACTAGAGTCCTGTGCAGCGCCCCCTCGGGGAAACTTGAGGTTTGGTTTTAATTGTACGGATTGCTCATCTGAGTGTGCCCTGGGAACGAGATATGTGCAGCTCCTATCGGGATTTGTCGGCACATTCGAGCGGTGTTGCTGGATTTGTTTTAGCTTGTTGAAATTGTCTTGTAGAACCGGGATACCGAGTCTGATCGGAATGTCTCGGGAGAAGGTATATCCTTCGTTGACCGTGAGAGCTTGTCATGGTCTAAGTTGGGACTCGCCTGCAGGGATTTGAACTTTCGAAAGCCGTGCACGCGGTTATGGGCAGATGGGAATTTGTTAATGTCTGGTTGTAAATAACTTGAACCTTAACTTAATTAAAATGAATCAACTGTGTGTGTTACCATGATGGTCTCTTCTCGGCGGAGTCCGGGAAGTGAACACGGTGTTGGAGTAATGTTTGCCATAGGTTGTTCTCTAGTTCTTCGTTCGAGCTTTGCTTTCTCTTCTCGCTCTCTTTTGCGAACAGGTTAGCCACC